GCGCATCCGAAGGGAAAAGTCTTTCCAAAATGATAACAAACTGATGGGCGAGGCACAGGTAGAAGCGGAGCTCAGGAAAGGATTGTAGCTTGGTGCCTGCAACCAGCGCTCCTTGAGCCGCAAAAAACCACATTCCGTTTCCTTCAGTCCATGGCTTCTGCTTCCACTGGTGCATGTACCCCCATGCTACACATAGACTTGATCGTAATCCCTCGCCTTAACGCGACAAGTAATTTAACTACGATATTGCCTTCGCAACAACAAGAAGTCGAGCGCTCGATAAATCGATGTTTTTATCCCTCCAAAGGAATTGGTGATCTGATGGACAGTTAAGAGAGATTCAAACCGGGGCTTATTCTCTGAACATTGCGCATAGTACCACTTCCAGAACTTCTCCTTCGAACACAGTCATGATAATCAACTCTTCTGCGGCTAGCGAAGGTTCTCTTCAAAGCGCTTCCTAACAAGAATTGTACATTGCCTTGATAGCTTTATTGTTCGTAAATCTGCATAGTAGCTCCGCTGCTTTATGTCGTGGCAATAGCCGGAGGTTTAAGTTATTTTTCTCGTTTCATACTGTGCTAATCCCGCCTTTAGCCATATTTCGGAACCCGGGCTGCAGAGCTCCTAATAGAGCAGGAAAGCTGGCCTCCTATGAAAAGTGTGCTCTTCTATAATATTAGTACCCAAAAACTGATTTTGGCCATTGCTACTATTTGGTGATAGTATTATCTACGGAGGTTTCAATAGAAGCCTGTTATTGTTCAGGTGCAGATGAGAACACGAATATAGCAACCCTACCAATAGAAAATAGGGACTTCAATTTCCACCATTAGTTCTCCTTTTTCGTTTTTCACGTAATTCTCGCGCAGTGGTTAATTATTGGATGGTGGATCTTATCCACAACGACCATTCTTAAGTTCAGCTTCACGGAATGCAATCGTCCCTTTTCTGATGCTTCCCTACTTCATGAATGAAAGGAGTTATACTAACAAACCGCTGTTTTATCGGATCAGGTTCTTCAAAAGCCCACTTCAATGGTGACACCGTTACTCTTGATCAGTCGGTGCCAATAAAACGCTTCGATAATAACGACCGACAAAGAATGGCGTCACTTCATTCCATCCGTCTAAGGGTATGTATTACATCAAGCTTCACCGCTTACGGTCCATAAGAACAATAGGAAAAACTAGCGGTTTAAATCGGCTTCCTTAGTAGCGAAACATTCAAAATAATTGTGCTCGCAGCGCTGTTAGTAGACTACTACAAGCCTCTCACGATTTCATAGTGTTCCCTCATATGCGCGTCCTCTCCAACGTCCCTTCGAAAATTCCTATACGGCCGGTTTCTGCTCGGATCTTTTTATAATGACGCGTTTCTAAGCATCACCTTTAGCCACATATCAGAACACAGCTGGTGTGATCACTAAAAAAACAGCAAGGACCAGAACCCCAACAAAACATCCCACCCCTCTACAGTCACGCAATACCGCCGAAGTTGGCAGGGAGGATATGCCACTCAATAAACTAACATCATTGATAGACACTTGAACTGCGCCAAACGAGGTGACGCCATAGAATGGCCAAAACAAAACGTATCCAACGGTAAACTGAGCATTGCTAGCATAAAATGATATGAAACTGACCCAAGGTAGCAACTTGGAATCACTTGTTGTTTGTACGAACGACCTTGAAGCATCTTCGCTGCTCGGCCTCAGGTATTTTTCGCCTTTTCCGCGCCATTATTGCTTCGCCAGACTACAGGGTGGGCCAAAATTATGAGGACCAAAACACTGTTGTCAAAAACGCATAGTAGCTTGATGGAACAAACAACTTCAGGGAAGTGTTTGCAACTCATATCTCAAAGTAAAGTGGGTTAATTGAGATCTGCCACCTGCCCGTTTACACGAGCCTTCAGATTGCCAAGGTGATTTCTAAGGGTAATGGGACGTGCGGTGGCACGCAACTAAGGTGTGTCAAAATGTTTCCACGCTTTTCGCTTCATCTTTTTCAGAGAATCAAGTTTTTAGGATTTGTTTTACGCTAGCCTCGAGGGTTTAATATCCATGAATTCGGAGATATTAGGTAGACGGTTCCAATGTGACGATTCTTTGAAGGCATGATCTCGAAAAATTGTTTTTGAATAATTTTTGCTTGACTTTCGAGAGCTCTGCTTACATTGGAGTCCCTAGAATGTCTAGTTGAGTTTTTACATCATTTTTTT